GGAAATCTCTAGCTACACTACTCCCGCCAAGACTTAAACATTATCCTAAATTTCCTCAGGGTCCCTTAAAGATACCAGCACCCCTAGACAACAGATAGCAGTCTAGAAAAAACAGCACCCCCATTCCTAAAAGACTGGTTATGGATGTTTTTCATCATTTAAAGGGTTGTTAGTTACAAGTTGTCATTAGTCATAGTCAGGAAAAAATCTAAACAAAGAAGTTAAATTCAAAGATCTCTTTCTAAAGGAAAAAAGGGGGATATGGTATAGAAATAATGTGATAAAAGGGTAAAATATTAAATCCACTTTAATCCAAAAGACAACTATTAATCTCAAAATATTTTACATTGGTAGGGATTTTTATTTATTGATGCAAATTTAAAATTAATTTTGTTACACTGTATGTATGTTTCTATTCTTATTTGGGGTACTGTGCTTATGCAGCTCATTTAAAAATGCAATGAATAATTAAGAAATACAGGTTAATGATTAGTCACCTATAATAATCAATGTTGTAGTCATATTAAGTATGTTTTCAAGGTCATACACAGATTTATTTAGATAGATAAAAGGTCTTCAAATACTTCAAAGACCTATGGAATATGACATTTAGTATGTTTAATAACCTAAGGCTTTTCATGATAGTGAGACATATCTGCTCCTGGCAACACCAATCTACTTCAGAGAAGATAATGGGCATCAAAGAAAATCCATATGCAATTTGCTTTCTTTATGGCAAAAGCTAGCCATGTGGGCAAAGAAACTGCCCTTGCCTCAATTGCTGACAATATACTATCCAACCCGACCAGCAGGATGCAAAAGAAAGTGACTGCCAAACTTTGCCAAGACAAGGTAGTATGGTCCTTCAAAATTCACTGCTTCTTAAAAATGTCTGTCAGATATATTGGCCTGCAGGCCAAAGTTGGATGCCCCAATGTTGCAGAAGAACTTTGGGTGAATGTCCAGGCAGGCAAATGTCCCTGTTGCTAGGTAACATTCTACACTTCTGGAGTCTTTGGTGGAGTTAAAGACTAAATAATTAGACTTACAAGTTTTGCTTGTTTATGATAAAAGGTCAATTAGATATAAAACTTTAGACTTGCAAAGATAAGGTAAATAATAGAATATTTTCTCTAATTTTGCCAAATACAAATGCAGTGGATATTGTAACTGTTATTCTTACATGATAATTGTTTTTGTTGTATATAATTTTAGTATGTTAAAGTTAAAACTTTCCTTTTTAATTAGACAAAAAGGGGGATGTGTTGTGGAAAAGTCTTTGTGCACTGTGAATATATTACTTTCATTGGTTAATAAAGAACTGACTGGCCTATAGCTAGGCAGGAAGAGACTGGACAGGAGAGCTAGACTAGGAGGACCCTGGGAAGAAGAAGGTCAGAGTCTCAGGAGTTGCCAGACAGATGTAGAAGAAGCAGCATGGAAAATACATAGATGAGGTAATTGAACCTCAGGGTAGCACAGAGATTAGTAGAAATGGGTTATTTATGTATTTATGTATTTATGTATTTATTTATGTATTTATTTATTTATTTTGGTTTTTTGAGACAGGGTTTCTCTGTACAGCTTTGCTGCCCAGTCTCGAACTCACAAAGATCTGCCTTGCTCTGCTTCCCAAGTGCTGGGATTAAAGGAAGGCATGTGCCACCACCACCCGGCTAGAAATGGGTTATTTTAAGTTATAAGAGGTAGCTAAAAAGCCTAAGCTATTGGTGGAGCCTTCATAATTAATAAGAAATTTTTGTATGGTTATTTGGGAATAGCTGGTGAAAGGGAGCTGACCAGTAGTCCCAACAAAAAGCTACAGGAGTCTTCTTCTGGAGAAGGATAGGCCTCTTGGGGAGCTTTATTAGGAATCAACAGAGATAGGCCTCTTGAGAAGCCTTCTTCTGAATGAGGACTAACAGATAAGCATGGATGAGACAGGTGCAGTGTGGAAGATCTAGAGAAGTGTTATGATAGTACATAAGTATCTCAGTGAATACTGGCAAAGTGCTGGTTTACAAGGGAGGGGTGTTCATTTTTTGTATTTGACTCATTTTCTTGTAGTTTAAAGTAGTAAAAATATTTTATTTTTAGTTTTATTTATGTATATGTATGTATCTCTGTCTATACAGGTACCTGGGGCCAAGAAAAAAAAATAAAAAGCAAACAAACAACAACAAAAAACATCTATGTTCTGGGAATCAAACCCTGTTCCTCTGCTAGGGCAACCCTACTATAAACTTAATAAACTGGAAAGCAAGAAGCCTCAAATCTCCCAACAGCTCAGGGAAGGGAAAATCAGAAAAAAAACAAACAAAAAAAAAAAAACTTTTTTTTTTCTTTTTGTGGTTTTTTGAGACAGGGTTTCTCTGTGTAGTTTTGGCGCCTGTCCTGGAACTCACTTGGCAGACCAGGCTGGCCTAAAACTCACAGAGATCCGCCTGGTTCTGCCTCCCGAGTGCTGGCTGGAGTGGCATGCTCCACCGCCGCCGTCCAGCCAGAAAACCTTTTTAGCTAGTTATTACTGGGCCAAGGTGCCACGCACACAAAGAGCATCCACATGTACCAGTGCCCATGCGCAACACCAAATGCACATGCGCACACCATTCAGCCAATCAGCAAGGAGTCTGGTTGAGACGGGCTTTCCTCTCACTCGGGCAGTCATTTTGCTGAAGAAGCTTTGAGAGGTAGGATGGCATAGTTGTTGAGGGTCTTTGCCTGGTGGGAGACCAGTAAAGCTGGTTCAGCCAGAGGCTTTAGTTCAGGTGTGAGGAGGGGATAAGTGTGAGGGGGAAGGAGTGTAAGAAGGAAGGAGTATAAGGAGGGGAGGAGTGCGTCCCCTCTAGAGAGGCCGGGGCCCCAGGCGCAGTTTTACTTGTGAGGCAAATCGGCCACTGGTGTCTCGGGCCTCCACAGTAAAATGGAGGTGACAGCGAACCTCATTGAGGCCTCTGATAATAAAATGGAGGGGACAGCGAGCCCTGTGGAGGCACTGATAGTAAAATGGAGGGGACAGCGAGCCTCACTGAGGCCTCTGATAGTAAAATGGAGGGGACAGGGAACCTTGCCAAGGCCTCAACAGACAGTAAAATGGAGGGGACAGCGAACCTCACTGAGGCCTCTGATAGTAAAATGGAGGGGACAGGGAACCTTGCCAAGGCCTCAACCGACAGTAAAATGGAGGTGGCAGCGAACCCCGTCGAGGCACTGACAGTAAAATGGAGGTGTTGACCTTGCCGAGTACTGGGCCTTGAGCAGGCTGAAGCCTAGGTGGAAGGAAGGAAGCTTGGTGGATTCGGAGGTCTCCACCGCTGTTGCAGAGATGCCAACTAGGAGCAAAGCAGGAGCCCATAGGGGAGGGGAGGGGTCGTGGTGGGGGCTTTGAGTTATGACTGGAGGCATGTTGTTGTCTGCAACCTGATACATTGAGGGACAGGGACTTTACCTCTGTACTTTACCTGAGGCCAGGCCTGCATCCTTCAGAACCTTACCTTCATTTTGGTATAGACTATATGGACATTGCTTTTCCAAGGACCAGACTGAATTAAAAAAAAAAAATTTTGTACTTATGCATATATGTCTGCAGAGAGGACATCAGGTTCGCTGGAGTTTGAGTTCCAGGTGGTTGTGACATTGGTAGCTAGGTGTTGGCCACTGGGTTTTGGGAACTGAATTCCTGCTTTAAAAAAAAAACAAAACACCACCACCACCACCAAAAAACTGGCTAAGTGCTCGTAACTGCTGAGCTATTTGTTGAGCCCCCCCCCCCCCACTTTGTTTTGTGCGTGTGTGCTTTGATAGGACATGATATTGCTCTGTGTCTGGACATGGCCTCCTAATATTCCTGCTTCAACCATCTGAGTACTGGAATTCTAAGAATGTATAAGCACACCAATCTTTTTGTTTGTTCACTTGGGTTTTTTGTTGGTTTGCTTGAATATTTTTGAGACAGGGTCTCACTGTAAGCCAGAATGACCAGAACCTCCTTATGTGCCTTGGGCTGGACTTGAGCTAGGTGTTTTCAGCCTCCAGAATGGAATGCTCTGATTAAAGAGAGACCTGAGTCACCATGTCTGGGTCATTTTTTTTTTCTGGGCAGTTTTGACCATTGAACCCAGGCCTTATTGCATGGTAAACATACCCTGCACCATCAAACTACACTACCAGGCATGCCAAGTTTAGCTTTGCTATCAACAGATTTGGGTTATGCCTGTGATCTACAGTGATAGCATCCATGGATTCATTTTTCATCAGATACTGCTTTAAAGATCTGTCCAAAAATTTTAGGAATCTGAGAGTGATGGGACCAAAAATTAGATACCCCAGTTGTTAAGTACAAATACACTTGGAGTCAGAGTTAAAGCCATCATTATTTTTTTCTTTTTAGGATTTTAATTTTCACTATGTGGTGGTGGCTCTAGTGCATTCCTCTAGTCACAGCACTAGGGAGGCAGAAGCAGGCAGATCTCTGTGAGTTCCATGCCAGGAACTACAAAGTTTCAGGACAGACAGGACTGTCATATAGAGAAACCCTGTCTCAGAAAACAAAAAGATTTTAATTTTCAACTATGCATATAGGTTTGGATGTGAGTGTAAGTATCGGCTTGTGAGCTCAGTTGCTTGGGGAAAACAGAGGTATTAGACTGTCCTAGACCTGGTGTTGCAGGAAGTTGTGAACTATCTGATACAAGTGTTGGGAAACAAGCTTAAGTCCTCTGTAAGAACAATATGCACTCTTAACTACCTAGCCCTGGCTCCAACCATCATTTTTTTAATTCAGAAATTAGAAATTGTTAGCTTCTGATTTAATAATACATGGAAACTGGTAACTTTTTATTCAACTAATTTCATTCTTATTGAATATTTTACATTTTATTGTTTTAGTTTATTGTTTTGGATTCAGGTGAGAGATCTCTTTTTTTCTGTTTTGAATAACAAAACATTAAATTATGTTTCCCCCTGAAAAAAAGCAGTCTGAGAAATCTGGGACGCCACCAATGGAAAACTTCAAGCACATAGCAATCTATCACTATGATATTGATAATGAAAAAGAGGAAGTAGTGGAAGTGGTAGAAAAAGTAGTTGATGGACTGGACCGTTCAGCAGACTTTCCTCCTACAGGTACAATATACCCAGTTCTGAGTTTGATGGTATCCCATAGTTCAATTTCTTTGTGTGTGTTGGGGAAGGGGGTTTGTCAGAGGACAGTTTCAGGAGTTGGGTCTCTCCTCCCACCATGGGTGTCTCAGGGATGAGTCATGTGGCTTTCAGGCTTGGTAGTAAGCTCTGCATCCTTACCTCCTGAGTTATCTTGCCTGCCCAGTTCATTTGACTTTTATATTGCCATCTGAAATAGAATAAAAGGTTAGCATTTTCATACACTTTGTTTACTCTTAAACTTTACAAGCCTGTATCAAAATTCTAGAAAAGCATATAGTACTTCGACTGTACAGTTTACATACATCAATAAATTGCTGGGGATGCTGTGAGTGTGTTACTCTGATTGATTGATAAATAAAATGCTGATTGGCCAGTAGCCAGGCAGGAAGTATAGGCGAGACAAGCAGAGAAGAGAATGCTGGGAACAGGAAGGCTGAGGGAGGAGACGCTGCTAGCCGCCGCCACCATGAAATGTAAGATGTAAGATACCCATAAGCCACGAGCCACGTGGCAAGATATAGATTTATAGAAATGGGTTAATTTAAGATATAAGAACTAGATAACAAGAAGCCTGAACCATTAGGCCAAACAGTTTAAATAATATAAGTGTCTGTGTGTTTATTTGAGTCTGAGTGACTGCTAGCCTGGGTGAGACACAGAAAAACTTTAGCTACAATAAATTGTAAATAACTTGTAATGATATTACCCTAGGAGGGCTTGAAAAACTATTCTTATAAAATTATAGTAACTAACAATTTTATTTCATCTATCCTTTAGAATATTGCATTTATACTTCTGCTTTAATATATGTTGAAAAATGCCTAAAAACTATAAATAAAATTACTATTTCATTAAAATTAACTAAAATAGCATATTTAATTTTTCAGTTTTGTTTTCAATAAAAATGTTTTTCATTCTTCTGGTTAAATGCAGAAAAAAATCCAGTATTTGGTAATCCTAAGAAGACATGTGTTCCTACAAGAAAGGATGATGATACAGGGTAATATGTTAAAAAAATTTTGCCTGCTCAAAAAATATTTTCATACCTGTAATCATAGCACTGGGGAGGAGGAGGTAGGAGGGTAAGAAGTTCAGTGACATTCTCAGGTACATAAATAGTTCGTGATCATCTTGGGCTATCTGGGTTCCTTTTTTAAAAAAGCAAAATGAATAGGAAAACTTTACTTTATCTAATAAATATCAGATATGTTATTTCTCATGTGATATTTCCATGAAACAAAGCATTTTATGTTATAAATTTACACTTAATTAAAAGGCTTGCCGTTGGTAGTGCTTTGTGTATGGGGGTGAGGCTTGACCACTGAAATGAACCTCAGCTTTAATTTTTTAATGTGACTTCTTTACAGAACTGAACTAAAGAATAAGATGGAAAACATTGGAGGTACATTTTTGATGTATTTGTATCTAGAGAAAATTGTTTAAAACTATGTAGTGTTAAAATATTATTTTGGAAAAAATTTAAAAAATACTATATAGTGTTAATGTGCTATAGGATTGTTAATTAATACTTTATTCTCAGTGATAGGATTTTGCACAGATATTTTTTACTTAGCTTGAAGATTTTCTTAGTTAACCTTTTCCTTGATAGGAAAAGTAAAACTGGTACTTTTATATATTAGTGTGACATAAATGGCATTATGGGAAGTAAAATGAATGAGAAAAAGGTTTTTTTTTTATAATTCTTTGGATTCACAGATTTATATATACACATCTTTATGAATACCAGTGTTTCATTTACAAAATTCTGTAGGGATCCTCCTGGATTCCTTTCTCCCTCCCAACTTCTTTTTCTTTTGAAACAGTATCCCTACTGTAACAAGCACCCAGAACTTAGTAGACCTCCAGACTTTAATAGGCGCCAGACTTTAGCACAACTGGTGCCATGAATGAAACACCATTCAGGCCTTGAAACCCAGAAAGTTAGTAGAAATACCCACTGTCTTAGTCAGGGTTACTATTGCTGTGATGAAATACCATGATCAAAGTAACTTGAAGAAGAAAGGGTTTATTTGGCTTACATTTCCAGAGCACTGTTCATCATCAAAGGAAATCAGGACAGGAACCCAAACAGGGCAGGAACCTGGAAGCAGGAGCTGATGCAGAGGCCATGGATGCTTACTGGCTTGCTCAGCATGGCTTGCTCAGCATGATTTCTCAGAGAAACTAGGAACATGTGCCCAGGGATATGATCTGGGCCCTCCCTTATCAATCACTAATCAAGAAAACAGCCTATAGGCTTACCTACAGCCGGATCTTATGGAGGCATTTTCTTAATTGAGGTTACCGCCTCTCAGATAAATTTAGATTGTGTCAAGTTGACATAAAACTTAGCAGCCTATCTGTTAAAACAGCCACAAAGGCCAAGTCAATGGTTCCAGGATGTGGCTGGGAAAGTTCTGGGAGTGAAAAATCTGTACATGTATTAACCCTGCAGTTTTGCTTCTGCAGTTTCACTTCTTGCTAGTCAGGATATGACTTTTGTGCATAAAACGCTAAGAACTATAAGGCTTAGGGCTACATGATCTGGCCAAGTTCTCCATGCTTGTGCTGACTGGCAAGAAAGACTTTCTATTCAACCTTAAGTGTGTCTGTGTAGAGGTCCCTGGTGGGCTTACCTTGCAATACTACCTAGTCTTGGCTGTCCTGGATATCATTATGTAGATAAAGCTGGCCTCTAACTCACATACATCCACCTGCCTCTGCCTATCTCAACCTCTTTTATAATTTATATATTTAACACACCGAGTCAGAATAGTGCTGCCCATATCACTTTTAACAATAAATTATGTATCAAAAATGAAAGACAATTTTACTGACCAGTGAGAGATCTTTAATCAGATGTAAAAAGACATTAATTTTTAAATTCTCTGTTATTAATTTTATGAACTTTGTAAGTGACAGTACTCATGTTTATTTGATTTCTTATGTAGTAACTTTTTTGAGATTATAATATAATTATGTCATTTCTCCCTTCCCTTTCCTCCTTCCAAACCCTCCAGTATATGCCACCCCTGCTCTATTTCAAATTCATGGCCTTTTTTTCTTTTTAAATCTTGTGATGTGTTTTTTTTTCTTTAACTGTTGTGAGACACACACACACACACACACACACACACACACACACACACACACACACACACATATTTGTTTCTGAGACAGAGTCACACTGTATATCTCATCCTGGCTTGAAAATTTCTATTTACGCCACCTTGATCTTCAGATAGGAGATCTCCTAACTGTCAACAGGGTGATGTAGTTATAAGATTGAGATACCTCATCTAGTTTAGGAGACAATATTCTTTAAGAATAACTAAAATGTTCTTCCTTTCCAGGGATTATTTATACTGTCAAGTCTTTTTTGGAGGATTTCCACGGTTGGGTGGTATCAGAGTACTTGTTTTCTAAATTTATTGTAGATGCTGAAAGCATAAAATACTAGTTTCATCGCAGGTAGTAAAAGGTGATGATGGCAGAAAGGCATGTTTTTGGCAAACATTATTTGAAGCATTAAAATTTTAAGAACTGTAAAAATGTCCTATAAAAAGCTTCACAAAGACCAGATAGGTGGTGGTGGCACACACCTTTAATCCTAGCATTTGGGAGGCAGAGGCAGGCGGAACTCTCTGAGTTCAAGGCCAGTCTGGTCTGCAGAGTTGCAGGACAGCCAGGGCTACACAGAGAAACCCTGTCTCCAAAAAAATGCAAAGCTTCACAGAAGTATTTAAAATGTTCTTGATTACTAAACTAAGGTTTTTTTCAGTCTTTGATATTTGTTTCTATTTGAAAACAGTGCATTTCAATATATCATTGCTATGTTACAAATATTTTTTTTTCTTCAAGCAGAGTGTTCCAGCGTTCAGACTTATCCCTTGGCATCTTTCTTTTTTTTTTTATTAAGACAATTTTTTCACTCACTTTACACACCAATCAAAGATCCCCCTCTTCCCTCCTCTCACCCCCCAGTCTCCCCCCCCAACCACTCTCTACTTCCCCCGATACAAGAAGGCAAGGCCTCCCATGGGGAGGCCCATCCAGTAGAGGCAAGGCACAGGGCTGTAGTCTCAGCTACTGGGGAGGCTGAGACAGGAGAATCGCTTGAGTCCAGGAGTTCTGGGCTGTAGTGTACTGTGTCGATTGTGTGTCCACACTAAGTTCGGCATCAATATTGTGACCTCCTGGGAGCGGGGGACCACCAGGTTGCCTAACTAGGGGTGAACTGGCCTAGGTTAGAAACAGAGCAGGACAAATAAATTTTTATAACTTAATTTAATTATCCTTTTTGAATGTTGGCCTTCAAATTTTATTTTTTAACATACAATGAGTTCTGTTATTTTTGTTTTGTGTTTTGGTTTTTCAAGACAGTGATCCATTGACTCTGCCTCCTGAGTGCTGGTATTAAAGGCATGTGCCACCATTGCTTAGCCGTATAATGAGTTCTAACAGTAATACACCCAGGTATCCTTCCAATTGGAGAGTAGTCTTTCAAATAAAAAAAAAGTTTATCATCTTATTGTTCTATTATTTTAATAGTCTTTTTATGATCTCCAAATTTAAAAATTATCTTCAGCAAGAATATTATACTTGTAGTAATGTTAGGTATTCCTCATTCACAATGATCAGGAACAGACATCTTTCCAATTTTAGAATTTTATTTGACTCTGGGATATTTGTATGGAAAGCAAGAATCTTGAGTGCTATAAAATGTGAACTGCTCGAGGCATTTTGTTGGTGCTGTTTTTAACTGACTTTGTTATTGTTGAATGACTTTAAATCTGTGTCTGTGTTTTCTTGCATATGTGGGGCAATATTGTTTTCTTCAACGTTAAATTTTAATGACTTTTTTTCAATGTAGCTGATATTAGCAATGCTGTTACTGAAAAGAAAAAAAGAATGGAGTCATATATTAAAGGTGTTGTCAGAGACTGTAACAAGAATATCAAACAACATTTGAAATTTCATGAAGATGAACTGTAAGACTTTTCATTTCTTTCGAGCCACATTTGTATGATTTTATAGTATGCACTGGTGCTAAGTACTCTGTTAAGTGGAATATATTGAAAAATTTTGGCTTTCTTTTTCTCCAAGCCATCATAATAACTTTCTGGATTGAGATATGTTTCTGGGAAGCCTGTGAAGATCATCTTTTTTCTCCTTTTAAATGACATTTGAAAGTTATTTTTAAAAACTCACTTTTGTTCATTCTGGAAGACAGTAAAAGATAGATGTCATAGAAACTTCATTTTTATAGATATGCTTGACAGAAAGAAAAAAGTCAATTTAATATTGTAAATAATTTATGTATTTTAAAAGATTTAATCATTCCCTTGTAGTCTTGGGTATGCCAAAACAAATTTAAAAACTTAAATATTTTTTTCTAAAATTTATACATATGTGATCATACATATGATGTCATATATATAAACAGATAGGTCACATGTCCTTATTATTTAATAAGACAGGCATGTGAGAACACCTTTTTATTAGTTAGGGAAAATACTGGAATCAACATAAACCTAATTTTATTTTTTCATTTTCCAAAAGAATATTTACTCTGCTATTATGTCCTTCTTTTTATAGTACATAATACGAGAATTAATTTTTCTTTGAATATTCTCTTCATCTTGATGTGTAATATAACATTCATTATTATGTTTTACAGGCGGGAGTTTAAAATTGAAATTACTGAGAAGATTATAACTGTGTTTCCGCAATGGGATTTGGATATAAAGCATCTTGGAGACCAAGAAGATAAACTAACTGTTGGTATCACAATTGTTGTTATAATTAATATATTATTACCAATTCTTAAGTTAAAATAGAGAAGCCATTCTTGCATTGGGTACACGAAAATAAGCTGTACTTCAAGATCTATTACTGGTTTTATGTTCCGTTTCCTGGTGAACCATAAACCACAGAAATAGAGACACATACAATGCTCATGAAAGCCATTGAACTTCTGATATCAGTTAAGATTCTTGCAATTTCAAGCAACAGAAACTTACAGAAGAATAAATGAAGGATTACTGGTTTATGTAAAAGAAATTGAGGGTAGGTTAGTTTCAGACATAGTTGAATGGTGTGCGTAATGCATCACATGGCATTATCTGAGCTGTTTTTGGGTCTTAGTGAACCTACTAAATGCAGTATGGTAAATCTTCTGTTTTCAGACTTAACTACAAATTTGTTAGCTTCAGTGAACTGAGTCAGTCTTTTCTCAAAGCCCTGGAAGAATATTCTTGTGTGGGAATATCACTGCCCTGGTTTTGAACATTTCCCTGTTCCTGAACTAATCACTGTGGCCAGAACACAGTTTGCATCTTTTTCTTCCTCTCCTCTCCATGTTCCTCTCCTTCTTTCCCTCTCCTTTGCCGTACATCCCCTTTCCTACCTTCTTTCTCTTCTTCCAGTTCTCCTTCTGTATTCTTGACTTAACACAGGGCATTTTGCAAGGCAGGCAAGCACACTTTTGCAAAGCTACAGCACGAGTTAATGACATCATTTATTCTCAGCAGTCAAATATGTATTTCTCTATTCCCATATTACTGAAAACTAACCCTATGCATACATTTTCTAGCATTAAGTACACTTTCCATTTGTTTATTTTCACCTTTTCATTTTAGAAAACTATTTTAGTATTACATTTGAGGTCCTGATTATATCTAAACAGTTTTGGGCTTGAATGGTCACTCTAGCTATGCAATGTTCAATTTGAAACACATGTGACATTCAGTGGGGCAGTTGAGTAAGCCACTAGTATGTGAGAATGGAGTTTAGGAGAAAGCCATTGTTTTTTTTTTTTTTTTTTTTGGTTTTTTTTCGAGACAGGGTTTCTCTGTGTAGCTTTGCGCCTTTCCTGGAACTCTCTTTGGAGACCAGGCTGGCCTCGAACTCACAGAGATCCGCCTGGCTCTGCCTCCCGAGTGCTGGGATTAAAGGCGTGCGCCACCACCGCCCGGCGAAAGCCATTGTTTAAGGACACAAAGTTGAGAATTATTAATTTAAGGTAATTTTTGAGCCATGAAGATCAATGAAACTATCAAGAGGTAACTGAGGGTGTGGTGGTGATACAAACCCTTAATCCCAGCACTCAGGAAGCAGAGGCAGGTAGATCTCTAAGTTCCAGGCCAGCCTGGTCTACGTAACGAGTTCCAGGACAGTCAGGGCTACACAGAGAAACCCTGTCTCAAAAAATATGACTGAGTATGTAAACAAAAAGTCTAAGGGCAGATCCCTAGAGTTTTTCAGTGCATTTATTCTAGAGGGTGAGAGTGAACCAGGAAAGCAGATTGAGAACAAGTGTTCTATTATGTGGAAATTAAATTATTCCAAGTAAAGGAAGCCTTTTAAAAGAAGAAAAGACTATTACTTTCACAGTATGTCATGTACAGGTGAAATAAGGTAGATTTGACAATATGGAGTTCATCATTGGTGTCTTGAATCAGAATGATTAGATTTGAAAAGTGAGTGCAACCCTCATAGAAGTAAATACAAGACAATGTATGAAAAACTGTGTTAGCCCGAGGAATAATATACTAGTTTTTTTGTTGTTGTTTGCTTGTTTTAAGAGCAAGGGAATATGTTTAAAAAGAGGAAGACAATAATAATTGCTGAGTTCTTAAGAATGGGGTATTTGAGGAGGTTGAAAATAGGAAGGAGAATAGAGCATATGACGTATACAGCTTCAGATGGGTGGTTGATGTGCTTACTGATGAGAATCAGAGCAGCCTCTTTGCATTGCTTCTGTGTATTCCATGAGATAAGGTCATGGAAAATGTTGCCATCAGGTAGACTAGCTGGAGCTGAGGTTTCCAAGCTCATAATTTAGCCAAGTAAATGTAAGAGAGTAAATATGGAGCAAGGTGCACATGCAAAGGTGTGTTTTAATGATTGGTTATAGAATTTAAGGTTGGAAAGAGAAAATGAAGGTAACAGGAGAAGGGACAACAGTGAAAAGAAGGTAGGATTAATGGATTTTTGGTCTTGAAGGACTGCTCAGCTATAATACTAAAAAGAGTAAGCTACAGTAGAAAGTGTTAGAGTATGAGCTCATAATATGTGGAGAGAGAGAGATTCTACAATGATTATAGCTTTGATTCTGAAGACATAATGTTTTGGATCTGATTCAAATTTCAGTAATAGCCTTGGAGCAACAGACAATGTACCATTGTATCTGTTTCCTCATATTTGAAAGAAAATGGTGAGCATCTCTTTCTTATAGTTGTTGAAGTATTAGGTGAATTTGTATAGAATTAATCTACTTAATAGGGTTCAAAATAATACCTGCCATGGAGTTAATACACATTTTCCATTACCAATACTATAAAAAGGTGTGTTATGAGTAATGGCAAAATATAGAGTACAAAGTCGTTGGTGGACAATAAGTTAAGGAGCTGAAAGGACAGATTTATTGGAAAATCATCTGGGTAGACATTACTAGAATAAGTTATGTCTTGCATATGAAGAACTCCTGCTCAACCGCACAAGCTACATGCATGTAATTCCAGCTACTTGAGATGTTGAGGAAGGAAGACCATGAGTTCTTACTGTTCTATGCATATAGAATTTGTCTTCAAAAATTCCTACTCCATGACTTTGAGGATGTTTTTGCTGGTTAGTGTTAAAAACACAAATTGCTTAAACTTAGTGATAAAAAATCAAAACAAAATATTGACAGCATTTATTATAAAAATTCTTTTTAAGATTAATTTATAATTGTTTTTCTGAATTTAAGTTTAGTGCATGGATTAGCTTAGTTGTAGACTTTAGCAAGCATGTGAGGAGCCCACCACATCATCAAGAGCAACCAACTTCACACTTAATTGTTATTACACAGTCTTCCATTTATATTTGTAGGATATTTTTTATCAGCAAAAGAACATTTTTGAACAAACTAAGATGCGTCAGAATCAAGGCCTGAAAAGACTGAAGCAGGAAAATAAGGCATTCTTAAAGGTATGTTATAAATTGTAACAGAATGCATTTTCTTTTTCATGGCTGGAGAGACAGCTGTGGGTTCTAGGACAGGAATTCTTACAGTTTTGGTTGTGAGCCTAGCCTTTAATGGCTGAGACATCTCCCCAGTCCCATAATGTATTCTAATACATTTCAGAATTTTAACTATTTTCCATTCTGAATTAATTTCTTGTAACTGAAGTGATAAGCAAATTGGCATATCTCTCATGATTTTGGCAGGGACTTACTCAAATCAGGAAGTATTAGGTTGAGAGTTTTATCAGAAATGTGCTTTTGCATTAAACACATAGAATATTAACACTTTATTCTCTGTTTAACTACAAATGATACATCTATACATCATTTTAACTTTATAATTTGTCCTTGTATCCCCAGTATTTGTTAAATAAGGAAATGCTTAATTGAAATTATTGAATATTTTTGTTTTCAAATGTATTATAGAAGCATTTTCTGACATACTATATTTTAGAATAATTACAGTGACCAAAATTATTGTATATGCCAATTTATAATTGTAAAAGAAAGTCCAGAAACAAAAGATAAGTGAGAGTTAAAAGTTTGTAGACTCAGGGGCTGAAGAGATGGCTCAGCAGTTAAGAGTGCTTGCCGCTCTTTCAGAAGACTGGAATCTGCTTCCCAGCACCCACATCAAGAGACTCACAACTCCAGGTGCAGGATATCTGACACCCTCTCCTGGCCTCCATGAACACCCACATATACATATATGCATACACAGACACACCCATATAAATAGACGACAAAATCTTTAAATATTTCACAGGTTTATATGATTATCTAGAAGTAGATATGCACATTAGTGAATCAAGGTCCAAACAATAGTTTTAAGACACTTTCAAAGAACTTTATACTAATTTTCATAAACATCTTAAGTCCAATAAAAGTGCTGTTGGTTACCACAAAGGTTTTCATTGCCACTGCTGCATTTTTTTAGGGTTATTGCGCCATGCTACCAGTTGTTTTGTTTCATATTCATTGTAATTGAATATGACTATCGGCTGCCTCTCTCCTTTGGAATCTTCCCTGCCACCGTCTGGTACCATGAAATCTAGTTCTCAGAGGGGAGGCTTTCAGGTCAGATCCAGCTTGGGTCCTATGGGCCCTGTGTCCAAAGTGCACAAAGGAGTAGTTTAGTTAAAAAAAAAACTATTTATATATTCAACAGAGAATTGGTTCCTTTTCATTTTTTGCTGCTATTAACTCTAGCTAAATACCTGTTCTCCCTCTGTCCTTTGGGCCATCTCCCATAGGTCTGCCATGTAAACTATCTAAAATACTTCTTTTTGCAAATCTAATCTATAACTTCCAATTCTATGAGATCCCCTCCATTTACTACATCTGCTCATTAACCTTATCTCTCTACATAATTGCTTTATCTAAACCCACAGACTGTGTACTTCCATTCTTTCTTCATATTCTTTCCCTATAATATTTTTAATTGCTTTAATTTTGAAATCTTATTCTTTTGCCAACCTAGTTGGAATCACCCCCATTTTCTATACTATAACTAAAATAGATTCATTTCCATTCCAGTTATAGATTCTTTGAATTATTTTGTTTACATTTTTTTCCTTTTAAAGGGGTGAGGTATCTTGTGCTATTATTTTTTAAAGTATCTCCACAGCTTTTACATAGTAGTACACTTTAAATAGCAAGTAAAAATAGCATGGTAGTTAAATTAACTTATAATTTTTACTGGGTATAGTGGCACAGGCAAATGATGACAGTTGTGGGGAACCTGAGGGTGAAGGATGGGAAGTTGGAGGCTAGCTTGGGTTACACAGCAAGATCCTGTAATAAAGAAAAAAGTGCCAAAATGTACTTTTTGTTTAATATTACTTGGAAACCGTCTCATAATACAGATCACTTAATTATCTTTATTCACATTGACTTTTTTTTGTAACCTGATATATGATAATCTTATCAGAAATTCTCAAAATCACCATATTTACTGATTGGAATTTTTGGATTTTCTAGTGTTTCTAATTCTACACATTTTTGTTCTTTTTTTTTGAAGATAGGATCTTATGTGGCTCAGGCTGGTGTTGGTCTTCCTCTATACCTGAGTATAACCATGAAATCCTAATCCTTCTGCTTTTACCTCTCGACTGCTAAGATTACAAGTATGTGCCACAACTTGATTTATGTTGTGCTATGGATCAAACACAGGGATCATTCATGCTAGTCAAGCACTCTACCAACTGACCTAAATGTCCAGCCCCACCCTTCTTTTGAGACAGTGTTCTGCTTTGTTGTCTGTGTTAATGTTCAGTTCTTTATGCTCTCAACTGAGCTCAGGGTGACTGGGAGCTGCACTTTTTTTTTTTTTTGCTCTATCTAACCCTAACATCTCATTAAACTATTAATTCACATACTACTACTTTGTACATGCTATAATTGCCTTTGATTCCTTATCCACACACATTCTTTATGGTACGAATTTGGGTGTTTATATATTATAATGTTTTTTAAAGTTATTTATTTGTATTTTATGTTTGTATTGGTGTTTTGCCTGCATCTTTGTCTGTGTGAGGGTGTCAGATCCCCAGAAACTGGAGTTACAGACAGTTTTGAGCTGCCATGTAGGTGCTGAGAATTGAACCAGGGTCCTCTGAAAGAGCATCCAGTGCTCTTAACTGCTGAGCCATCTCTCCAGCCCCATATTGCAATGTTTTATGAAGATGGAGTAGATGATGGATACTATTTGAATATGAAAAGATTCTTAATTTTAAAAAGTAATTTCAAACTTTAGAGCCTGTGATGAAAACTTGTTTTTTGTGTTTTAGGCTTTGAAGGACTTGGAGAACGGCGATCTACTTACTAGCATACGCAGTGAAATTAAAAATCAAATGTCTTTGTTGCAAAAAAAAATTACAGATAGTTAAATACTGAGTTGTAATAACATGGAATAGCAGAAGTCCCAACATACTTTGTTTTCCTTAAATATGACACTTAACAAATGTTATTCTGATGAGTCTTGAGAAAAACTTGAACTTGAGTAATGTAATCTGTGTTAACTTAGAAACATGTGTTTCAAATTTGAATATATTTTATACCATCTTTAATTATTAGCTTTTTTAAAGTGTGGTATCTCTGTTTCTGTTGGCTTCCAAATAAAATCTAAACAGTTATGTGACCTGTAGCCATTCCTGTGAATCAAGGCTTTGGCTCTTTACCTTTGTTAGTGAATTTTTCTTAAAATGTTAATTAACTTTTATGAACAAAGATTAAAAATAAGAGGCACTTACTTGAACAGATCATAAGAAGACTTAGAACATGTTTGTAAAGAGAATGTAAACATATTTTTAAGAAAAATAAATAAAAACAGAATAACTAAGGGTGATTTAATGTGTTTAATTTTCCTATTTTTCTTGGCTTCTCAATTGTCCTTGGTTAGTTCTAGCTTTGGGCCCTGCTTACTCAGTAGGATGTTTCCTAATACCAGTATGCTTTATGTGGGGTTAAAGGGCAAATGAGAAGAGAGGGAGGAAGAGAAGGAACAAAGAAGCAAGGGGGAAGTGAGAAAAATGTGATTTAATATCTTTCAGGAGAGAATGAATGAAGTAATCCCTGACTCTTTCAAGTAATGTCCTGTTAGCACCTCTGAGTAAAAAGAAGGTGAAGCTTTTACCAGAGGCCATGAGTACACAGAAGCACAGACTGATAGTGCTTAACAAATCTCCATGGCAACTTGGATACAAAATCCTATTAAATTTCTGGGGTCTAACCTTGATTCCCCAGGAGTATGTACTTCTATTTTTCCATTTATGAAGGAAAAATGTGTCAAAGCTCAATAAATCCACTTCATGAAAGCACACAAACATCAATTTGTGATTAATTGCAGCTCACAGAGCTATTCACAAGGTGAATAGCTCACTCTGTTCTAATAATTAGGTTCTGATTTTTCCCTTCACAGAGCCCCCAAACTATGCAGGTAATAGATGAGAAAGAAATAATTCAATTATGGTTTTAACTACATTTAACTGTTTCTTTTTTTTCTGGAAAATTACACTTGCTTTAAAAAAAGGTTAGGTATTCAATGAGAGAAAACGTGTCCAAAAGCATACAGAAATGTGCATTATATTCTGTGAGATATTATAACTGTTATTATTTTATTTCAATATTGTTGAATATGTTTCTAAAATTTTTATTAAAGATAAAATAGTAACATACAAATATTGACCGGTTTTGAGTTTAGTAATAAAATTAAGACCTAAAGATATAAAAGTATTTTTCCAATAAGAAATGTTTCCATTTACAGGCAATACTTTAATATTTTTTCTCTTACCTAAATCTAACAAGTCCTATTTATATCATTAATTCCACATTTTGTACCCTAAAAGCAACAACATTGTAAAAATATATATTTAACAGAAAATGCATAATTATCAGAAATTATATATTGTAAAAATACATCAGATATTGATTAAAATTAGAGTAACCTTGTTATGTAAGACTGATTGATACTCTATGAATTATCTGTTCTTCAAAATTTTAAACATCATTTAATGTTAAACTACTGTCAAATTACGAGGTTAATCAGCACATTCACATAAAACAAAATTCACTTCTTATTTGTTTTTAAGGCCAGAAATACAACATGTAATGATGAAACGAGAGTATTGTATACTTCATTATTTTGGTTCAGGATTAGTAATCTTATATATTAAAATCTTCTGATGAACCTAATTACCACTAAGTATGAGTAGAGAATACCTTCAAGAGAATAGCATGTACAAAATAATTTGATTTGTGATGTTTTTATGATAATAAAAGCTATCATTTTTTATCTTTTCAGTATGTATCATGAAAACACATAAAAGAAAAATCTTGTTCTCCCTTACTGTTTATTTTTGTCATTATGGTTATCCTAAAATGGCATAGATGTAAAATGATTATTGTTTTTAAACATCAGTACATTCATGAAACAAAGCCTGGCTACTTAGATCCATTTTCATTCTAAGGTATTCTTTCTCTTTGTGTGTGTACTAGAATATTGAAGCATGTTTACATAGTATTATCAACTGTGCTTTAGAATTTTGGAAGAAAATTCTTCAATATATCAAGTTAATCAATTCATTTTGGAGTATATTTTTATTAATAATTTTCTTGTTATACTCAGCTAAGTTTTAAGAATGAAATAAAAGTGTGACAATTGGAGAGATTAAAGCAAAATCTGAAAAGATAATGTGTAAAAGTTCAATAAGAAAGAAGTAAGTAAACTTCCATAAATAAAACACAGTATCAGAAATTAGGTCTCACTATTTGTTAATTGATTCATTTGTATAGTAAATATGTAATATTTATTATGAATATGACAGGGAATTAGTCTAAGTTCTGTAGATGCAATAGTGAGAACCTCATATAAATTAATTTCAAATACCATAAGAAACTGTAAACTCAGCAAGTGAAATGTAGAATGGAGGAATAGAGTAAAATTCTGTGCAATTTTAACAATATGACAAAACTCCCATGTCTTAAATGGTGACTGACCATACTCACTGCAAGTAAAGTGAAAATGCTGTCGAGCAGGAAAGTGACAGATATACTGGAATATGCTAGGTATGCTAATATGAAAATTAGAAATTTAAATAGCATTCTTTATTTCCACTGTTCATAAACTTTTAAAAGAATTAATCAGGATTTTACAGTTCTAAAAGTAATATTTTTCTTACTGTAGAAACAAAATAATGACAATATTTATAGTTAAGGAAATTATTTTTGAGAGATCAAATTGAATGTCAGAAACAAGTCAGAAAATGAATTATTTAGAGAGAAAAATTAACAACGAAAAAGGGAGAAGAAAAAGTTGAACCAGAGAAACCTACTCTGTGTCTTACCAGCTGGTGTGACTTTAAAGTATTTAACTTTTCTAAGACTTTATTATCTGCATCAATATGTAGAAATTACAGAATGAGGTTTTAGTACAAACTTTGCTAACAATAGGAACAGGGGGTATACAGTTAGAATTATTTTTTGGATATGAGTCTTTCTGGCACATCTCCATTTTTTTACACCTGCCAACAGCCTATTAAGACCACCAACTAATAAATGGGATGTTATAAAACTGAAAAGCTTATGTATGGCAAAGGACACTTTCATGTGGACAAAGTGGCAGCCTACAGAGTGGGAAAAATTATCAATTATACATCTGATAGAGGATTACTATCCAGAATATGTTACTATCTAGAGTACATAAAGATCTAAATGAATGAATATAAAAAAATCACTTAAAATGGAATACAGAGAGTTCTCTGATGATGAAACACTTAAAGAATGTTTAACATCCTTATCCTCAGTGAAATGCAAAATAAAACTATTTTGAGAATGCTTCCTCATTAATGCTGGGAGTGCAAACTGGTACAGCCACTGTGGAAATCATTGTGAAGGTATCTCAGAAGTTAAACATTGATTTACCTCAATCTAGCTATTCTATTCAGGGGCACATATGCAAAGGACTCTATTTCTTACTACAAAGGTACTTTCTAACTCCTGTTCTTCATGATCAATTTAAAATAGAAACTAGAAACACCTGAGGTGTACTTTAACTAATGAATGAATAATGTAAATATGGTACATTTACACAGAATATTATTCTTCTGTAAAAATTAAACTGAAAATTTCAGGTAACTGGATGGATCTAGACACTATCAACCTGAATGAGGTAACCCAGACTCCCCAAACCAAATATTGCCTGTTTTCTCTTACAAGTTACCATTTATGCTTTCAATATGACTGCTATGATCTGAATAACCACAGATGTTAGGTGCCTATTAAGGGACTAGTTGAAGGAAGGAATCTCCCAAGAAAAGGGTGCTGGGGATGTTTTTCTGTATGATGTGAAATGTGTTGCTCTGACTGATTGATAAATAAAAAGCTGATTGGCCAGTAGCCAGGCAGGAAGTATAGTGTAAGTGGGATAAGAAGAGAAGAGAATTCTGAGAAGCAGAAGGCTGAGTCAGGAGACCCTGCCAGTCACCACTGCCATGAGAAGCAAGATGTGAAGGCAGAACTGGGAATAAGTACCAAGCCACATGGCTAAACATAAATAAGAATTATGGGTTAATTTAAGTGTAAGATCTAGCTAGCAAGAAGCCTGAGCCATTAGTACAGTTTTTTTTTTTTTTTTTGGTTTTTCGAGACAGGGTTTCTCTGTGTAGCTTTGCGCCTTTCCTGGAACTCACTTGGTAGCCCAGGCTGGCCTCGAACTCACAGAGATCCGCCTGGCTCTGCCTCCCGAGTGCTGGGATTAAAGGCGTGCGCCACCACCGCCCGGCAGGACAGTTTTAATTAATGCAAGTGTCTGTGTGTTTATTTGGATCTGAGTGGCTGTGGGCGAGGCAGGACTGGAGAAAACACCAACTACAAAAGGGCAATAAAATATAGTGTTATAGAGAAACAAAGGAGAAACCAGAAGAGGAGGATTAAATTGAGAGAAATGGGAGAACAGGATAAAGAAGGGAATATGGGGAGGGCTAATTAACACTAAAGGTCTTTTTAAAATTCATTTTGAAATCTACTGTAGAAGCTTCCTAAATTTTATACATATATGAAAGGAATTTAAATTGAGTCATCATATAATGCGGGAAAAATGCCCTAATTAGACATCTTCTGCCACCAAGTAAAAAACAACTATCGTCAAGAATGGGCTACATCTTGCTGAGTCACTGGCCACAGGCTTCCCTTGGATTCCTCAAAACAACACAGAATATTGGCAAAGTTATAGGTTACCCTGATGGTTAGGCCTGGTTGCTGAAAATACTACTTACTTATATCATGAAATATGGAGAAGGTGATCTGGTGCCCAACTAGAAGCTTCACCCCTACTGACTAGAAGTTAATCTGCATGTTCCTGGAGAAGAAAGACAATCATCAGAATCACCTA